GAAGAGTTGGTGGATTCGCAGTCGCATCTGATGGGGCCTTGGTCTTCGAGGGTAGATCTTGTGTTCCGAAGGTGTGGGAACTGCGGAGAGAGATTCTGAAGGAAGCCCATAGTGCCCCGTACACAATCCATCCTGGTAGCACGAAGATGTATCAGGACCTGAGGAAATCTTTCTGGTGGCGTGGCATGAAGTGGCAGATAGTGAGATTCGTGGATGGGTGCCTGGTGTGTCAGCAAGTGAAGGCTGAGCGCCAGAAGCCGAGAGGGTTGTTGCAGCCTTTGGAGGTTCCCCAGTGGAAGTGGGATTGCATCGCCATGGATTTCTTGGTTGGTCTGCCGAGATCGAGGAGCGGGCACGATTCGATTTGGGTGATAGTGGATCGCCTTACGAAGTCTGCCCATTTTCTGCCTGTCCGGACGACCATGAAGGCGAGTGATTACGCCGAATTGTTCGTCAAGGACATTGTCAAGCTTCATGGAGTGCCCGTGGAGATTGTTTCGGATCGAGATGCCAAGTTCAGATCCCAGTTCTGGAGATCGTTGCACCGAGCCATGGGGACGAGGTTGCAGTTTAGTACAGCCTTTCACCCCCAGACCGATGGTCAGTCGGAGCGTGTGATCCAGTACTTGGAGGATATCTTGAGGGCTGTGGTCTTGGACCGAAGCATGACTTGGGAGTATGCCCTTCCGCTAGTCGAGCTGACCTACAACAACAGCTACCACTCTTCGATCAAGATGTGCCCATACGAGGGTTTGTACGGACGTAAGGTCCGGACTCCTTTGTATTGGGATGAGGTTGGAGAGAGGAGGATCACGGGACCGGATTTTGTTCAGAGTACGGCTGCGACCGTTGAGGAGATCCGGAAGGCCATCCGGTCTGCCCAGGAGAGGCAGAAGGTCTATGCCGACCGGGAGAGGCATGAACACGAGTATGCGGTTGGAGATCATGTTCTCGTGAAGGTTTCGCCCATGCGAGGGGTGATTCGCTTCGGGAAGCGAGGTAAGCTCAAA